TAATGCTTTTATTACATTTTTCACCTTTGATTCTGCCTTATATTCTTACACATGTCCCTGAAAATATAGAAAAAGTGAATACCCTATCAAAATCTGAAGACATTTTCCAGCAGTTTGCAAAGCTTATGACTTACGTTCATACTGTAATGGTTATATATTTTCATTAAAGTGTATTCCATTAAGGCCTGCCTTTTTTTCCCCTTTCAGCTTTTTTGATGTATAAATATCAAATAAGAATTGTATATATTCAGGATATATAGCTTTGATGTTTTGCTATATGTATTGTGAGATACATTGTGAGATGATCATAGTTAAGCTAAGTCACATCTGTCACCTCATGCTGTTTTCCTTTCCTTCTCTAATTGTTTTTTATGGTAGTTCAGAGGCCTTTCTTAAAGATTATCTTAAGGTCTTTCCACAGAACATTTATCTTTTTTTTCTGGCTTATGTTGACAAGCAATTAACATCTGTTTTTAATCTCTTTTCCTCTAGGGTGGCACTTTCACAATCTCCAATTTAGGAATGTTTGGAATTAAGAACTTCTCTGCTATTATTAACCCACCTCAAGCATGTATTTTGGCAATTGGTGCTTCAGAGGATAGACTGGTTCCAGCAGATAATGAAAAAGGGTAAGTACCAAAATAAAGGAGTTGTAAGTTCATTTTCATTACATAATACCTGTTTGTTTTTTGGTGGTTGTTGTGGTTTGTTTTTGTTTGTTTTTACATTATACCTGTGTTTGAGTCTAAGTTTTATAATTGTCATGGCCTTTTGGAGCTTCAGGTAGAATCAGGCGTAAGTATAGAATGAAGTTTCTCAGGGCAGCAACTCTTCTTTTACTAAATGCAGTTAATCCTATTTGAAAGGGGAAGCCTTATTTACTATAGGTGAGGGGTGAGCATACTTTTCCTTGGAGCCAGGTTGTAAATATTTTAGGCTTTCTGAGTCATGGTGTCTGTTGAAAATACTCTGACGTTGTAGTGAGAAAGCAGACATAGGCAATACATAAATCAATTCCAGAAAACCTGCATTTGGCAGGATTTGGCCCATGGGCTGTAGTTTGCCAGCCCATGCTCCAGATAGCTGTTTGGTCTGTCAATCTAGAGGGTGAGGCAGAGGTGTATAGTACATTAAGAGTAGGTGGAAAATAGTATTACCTGGTTGGAGTTGGCATTTGGGTTGGTTACTGGCTAAAAACTAGGGATTGCTTTCAGAATACCTAATAATGTTTTTATCTTTTTCTAGATTTGATGTGGCTAGCATGATGTCTGTTACACTCAGTTGTGATCATCGGGTTGTGGATGGAGCAGTTGGAGCCCAGTGGCTTGCTGAGTTTAGAAAGTACCTTGAAAAACCTATCACCATGTTGTTATAATTAACCCAGGAATTTCTAGACTCTCCCAGGTCACAATGTTCATTCTTACCAAGATATAAATATGTTATTACACAGGTGTTTTTTTTATTTTAAAGTTAACCAGTTATTTTTGAGTCTGTCCAGATAAGTTATTTGTAATGGGCATCACTGAATTTTTTAAATGCCAATTACACCCACATATTGTACACATTTAATGAACACCAGATTTTGAGCTGTGTATTCCTAGTCAAGGGAACGTGTGGCTTGGCCCTTTGGTGATAAGTACTTCCACTGGGAAATGTAGAGGTAGAATTCTGGTTCCCTATTGAAACAGATATATAAAGGTAATCTGAATGAAACCTTGAGGTTTTGAAATTTAATTGCCTCAAATGTTTTGCTCATATTTGAGGGAAAGAGACGTCACGGAAAGAGAGAAGTCCGTTCTCTTAGAGAAAGGGTTTGAATTGAAGCTTGATTTTGGAATTTAACCCTAATTTAAATTTTTCTGTGACATGATCTTGGTTTATCATGGATGGGAAGGGTAGAGAACGTCAAGGAAAATAAGTGAAATTTTAAAAGTTAACTTTTTCTTAGACTTCTTCAACCAGCTGTCCTTTATTTTTCTATGAATCCTGAAATGGTTGTTTTTACCTCTTGAGATGAAGATATATATAAACCAGCTACTTGGTATAAATGAGAATTTGTGTGGGTATTTATTTAAACAACTTACACACATAATTTTGAGAGCAGAATTTAAAATTACCTCCAAATAAAAGAATATGCTTATAGAATTTAACAGAAAGTAGAAATTATTCCTCCAAGATTAATTGGTGGTTATTTGCAAATGAACTTAATTACCAGACTCTGTTACTCATATAACTCTGGAAAACTGTATCAAGTAACTGTGGAATAAGTGTACATATGTAAAATATGGTTTCTAGTGAGATGTGTGCCAAAGTTCATTTATCACCAAATCCTGTCTGAAAGGAAGAGGGGGAGAGAGACATTGGTAAGCAGTTGGGAGTGCTAAAAGATTAGAAGCGAAGTGGTCATTTCTACTTGGATAAAGTAAAAAATGTTCAGTGTGTACAAAGAAAGTGTTCTGTGTTTTTCCACCCGATGTTGTCTCATGTACAATAAGAAAGTCCTAAAATCCTATTGGAAAGAAAAAAAATAGTTTAGATTGCTTGCTGCCTTACCAGCCTAAATATTTTTTTCCAATTTGTTAGTTTGCCTTTCTTAGGGGAGGGGGAGTAGAAGAGGTGATACTCGGGATAATAAAAATGAATTTGGAATATTGTCGCAATTCCAGACTTTCTATTGATGTGTTTTAATAAATTTGGAATTGTTTATGACTATTTAAAATAAATCTAACCAGTGTTTCTGTGTATATACGTGGAGCAGTCCCCTGAAATTTAGGTCTTTCAGTGTTGAATCTGTTTCTAATTGTTCTTTATTACATGGTGCAGAAGTGACACTGCATATATTCCAGAATATTTTCCCTTGCTGTATTATGAAAACAGTACATTAAATTGATTTTTCAGTAATTAGTAATGTTAGCTTGAATTGAAGATTATGAAGAAGGAACAAGCTTATCACAAGGGACCATCACTATGAGCCACATCTGGTTCAGATACATGAAACTTCAAAGATAATTCATTCTTGGCAAATGCTTATGGCTCTGTCTGTTGTTCCCTTGAAAGAATAATAAAAGGTTATCTTCTAATAAAAATTATTCTGAGTTAAAAATTAATCTGAGGTATAATCTAAATTATAAATCTAAATGGATTCAGTCTATTTCTCTTACCAGAACTGAAAGAAAAAAAGTTAAAAATTTTGGTTGAAATTATTTAAAAATTAAACTGTTTTCAGTGTGTCTTGTCTAATTTTTGATCTGTTGGTAATTATTTTTCACATTAAACTAAAGCCAGAGATAGCTATATACGTGTACACTCTTAATACAAATGCATTTGAAGCGTGTAGAATTAGTAAAATAAAGGACTGAGTTTAGGAGGATATAATCTAACACCTTAAGCTCAAGGAGTTACTGAAGCACCTCATGGTGGAGTGTGCCACACAGCAAGATGAAAGCGTAATCTGGCCGTGTTAGATATTTTACACCAATCCTGAGGTTTGTGACTGAAGTTATGGTATCCCAAGGCATGGTCTGAAAAAGGAGTTAACTAGCCTGAGATCATATGAATGTGTTCCAAGGAGTACTCCTTACCTAGTAATGCACAAACCCTGGAATACATGGGAAAATAATCACCCAAGTTTGTAGGGGCACCTGGGAGGCTCAGTCGGTTGAGTGTCTGACTCTTGGTTTCGGCTCAGGTCATGATCTCCAAGTGGTGAGACTGAGCCCTGCACTGGGGGTCCCTGCTTCTCCGTCTCCCTCTGCCTCTCCCCCTGCTCATACACAGACACTCTCTCAAATCTTAAAAAAAATAAACCAAGCTTGTAGAAAAATCTAGTCTCAAGGATAATTAATATCCATCTCACTTTCCAGTTTCAAGGAAAAAAATTTTGGTAAGATTCAGATTAAACTACTCCACAGTTATTAATGTTCTTCCTGGGCAAAGTTTGGTATTTTGGGGGAGAGGGAGGAGGAGGAGAAATTTCTATGAATATAAAAATACACTGAAATAAGTAAAATATTTTGGAAAATAACAAGGATGTAAATTTAAAATTTTAAAAATGCTAGATCTTGATATGCATTTTATTAATGAGTACACAAACACATAGCTGCTGACAAAAGTAACACCCAAGTGCCAAGAGTGCCAGAGCAGAGATTACACCAGTTCTATGTGGTTAGGTATGAGAGTTTGTAGGTCAAGTATTGATGGTGATTTTGTAGAAGAGAAGGTAAGGTGAAAGCATTCCAAGTTTTTTTGAGGGATGAGACTATAATAGGGGTGTTAACTTTAGGACATTATACAGTTCTAGAAAATCTTCAGATGGTAAATTATCCTATTGCTGGGAGAATTCAAATCCAGACCAGGCTTAAGAAAATTGTATTTGTTTTTAAGTATCACATACCAACTGCTTCTATTCTATATACTATATTAGTTTCTAAAGTAAGTTAAAAAGCTTTAAAATTAATAAGGACTTTAAAGACGTTATGTTGAACTAGAAACTTACAATGAAGCTGTACTGTATCTAGGAAAGATGATTTAAGGATGCTTAAACATCAAAGTTAATACCTCTGTATTGAACAACCATCTGACAGATGAAGTTGATTAATATATCCTTCTGTCTTCAAATTATTTTCATAGGATAAAGGCACTTGTCCCAAAGTCACATCCTTTTTCTTAGGGTTAGATTTATTTTGCATCTTCTGTACAATAACATCCTGTTACTGTTACTGCATCATGGTATCCAGTCCACAGACAAGTCTATATTTGATATTATAAGGTCTGACGGGTAGCTTGGACTCCTCCCATCAGAACTGTTTTATAGAAGTACAGAGGTTCATAGAAGCATAAGTTTGCATACTACTACATTGGCCCTGTAACTTTATAGCTGGAGGAAACTTTCACTGCTTCAGTTCCTCTTGGTAATAGAAAATTTACACAGTTTGAGATTTATTCCTGATGCAAAAATTTGCTAGAGACAACCAAGTAAACCAGAATTTCAACCAATAAACCAAGAATTTTCACAATTTACTTGGAAACAGAATTTTCCCAAATGACAGTTTGTTACTTTAAGACCATTAGAAATAGCTTCAAAACAAGTATATCATGGCAATACCGTTTTTAATAGTTTCTGCTTCTAGCCAAGTCTGAGGAGAAAGTTAAAAGATAAAACATTAAGTTGATGAGAAAATCTCATTCCATCAAAAAGAACTCTTAGAAAATACTAGTGTTTAAGGTAAACCACTACCTCTTCACCCATAATGAAGGTCCTATCATTCACATGCCTTTATCACTGAAAACCCAAAGCAGATGATGCTCTTGACTTATACCAATGGCATTGTGACGATTAAGGTAGTTTTCTCTTTGATAAATCTGGCTGTAGTCATTTCAGTATCCACAGATTCTGGAAGATTCAGATGTAATCTGTACTTCTCAGAGACCTCAATCAATAAATCATCCTAAGAATAACAAACCAAAGTATTTTAAAATATGAAAATAGAAAGTATTTCCCGGTTAAAATATGTTACTGGATTATTCAGTCATTCACTCCTTTCCCATAAGAGGAGGATCTTACTGCCATGTGACTTGCAATGAGCTGTACAGTTGCTGTAACTCCCTGAGGTTTTTTGTTACTGCTGCTCAATACGTCAAAAGTTAACTGATACAGTGCCATAAATTGGGTGTTGCCATCCTAGATTATGTGGCATTGACTGTGGCTGACCAGCAAACAGCGAGGAAAACGTGTTGGCAATAGGAAAAATGGTGATCCATGTTTTATAGTGGTAAAGCCCTTAGTAAAACCAGCACAGTAATTTGAAAGACAACTAACTGCACCTCATTAATGTGTGGCTTTAGGTAAAGAAGTGTGAAAACAGAATGTTGGTAACATGCATTGATTCTGTTGGCTACATTTAATAAGCTACAACAAAAAGAGATGAGCTTAGAAAAGAATTTCCTAGTTTGCAAGTAGGATGGAAAGACTATATACAAAGCCCAAAAATTCTAAGACTTCAGGACTGAGAAATGGAACTAATTTTTATTTTAAACCAGTAAAAAATAAAATTGAGAATTTACTTCTTAGCAACAAAGACTAAGACAGCCTAGAAGTGAAGATTGAATCACACGTCATTATACTCTTTGTTACTCTAACTGGATTAAGGTGGAGCTCAGTTAATCCTTAGATTTGGCTCAAACAACAGCAATTAAGTAAAAAAAGGCCATTGAAAAAGGGACATGCCTAATAAAGAATCGTGGGGTGTGGCACTGATTAGAATCAAAGAAGTAAAATGCTACCAGTCTAGACTAAAACATTTAAAATAACTTTTGGATCCCCAACATTCCAAAAGCGTGTAACAGGGTGAGGAAACTGCTCAGCACGTAAGGATGGCCTATTCTCCAATGTTCTTTTCCGACGTGGCCAGTGTGGGTAAGAAAAAGGTAAACATCACCCAAAGAATGAAGCTGAAAGTCATGGAAAACAATGGAACTAGGGGGCTAGGTAATTAAGGAATCTTGTAATGGGACCTAACCAAGAACATCCTCTAATTCCAGGAAAGGGACCCTCACAGTATCTGCCTTCCAGGATTTCAGAATTGCTGTGCGCCAATAGCTGCTGTGTGCCTCATATTTTCCCCCTTTCCAAACTGAGACTGTTAATTATGGTTATTCTCTCTCCATCCCACGTTGTACGTGCATGGCTATCGCAGTCGATTACTCGTCTTTGTAGTTCATAGGTCTGTGGTTCAAGAGGAAAGTGCAGATTACAATGGCAAAATCCTGTATTTTAGAGTCTGATGCTGGGATTGGAAATGTCTTTCTTGGGGAAAGAAGCAAATATTTGTGTCCTTGAGAGTTGGACTGTGGTAGATTATAGGACTTGGCCAATGTTTTGCTCTTTTGTATAATATAATAAGGATTATACATCCTTGCCATTTGAATTCCTGTGACTACCTGTGAGAATATTCTTCCCAGCCCCGTTGATGTAGGATTTGGCCTGGTGCCTTAACTTTGGCTAATAGAATGTGAGTAATAGTGATATATACTATCTGTGAGAGAAAGTTTTAGGATCTATTGCATGGCTTGGCCATTTCTATTTTCCCTCTTTCATGAGAATGGCATATCTCACCTGTATCTTGAAATATGGAAGACTCCTGGAACAGAGCAGGCCTACCTGACATACAACCTGAGCAAATTGCTATAAACCACCGAGATTGTGGAGTTTGTTACTACAGCATAATATGGTAAATGTTGACTGATACAAATTTATAGTATTACCTGTTCAACTTACCTCAGAAACACTAAGATCACAGAGAGATACTGAATTAATACCAGGTAATTCAACTTTTATTTCAATTTCCAGAGGTTTCTCATTCTGGTCAGCCACAATTTTTAATTCATAGGCTGGTTCCTTCATCTCTACCTGGATCTCTGTACTGGAAATCTCCTCAATCAGACACCTTGTTTTGCTTGAAACTTCACCTTTTGGCAATAAAAGCTGAAAGTGATCTGAATTGCTCACAGTCCTACTTATCTGTTCAGGGGTTAGTTCTTATGGGAAAAAAAGGGGGGGAGATGAAATCACAAAATTAATCAACAACATAAAATACTATTAGGCTATGAACTGTAACATATGTGGCATTAGCCAAAATGGCAGATAAGCTGAAGCTAATTTAGTTTGGGAATCTAAAGAGAATCTTAAACCTGGGGCACCTGGGTGGCTCAGTCAGGTTAAGTGTCTGACTCTTGAATTCAGTTCAGGTCATAACCCTAGGATCGTGAGATCAAGCCCAGAGTTGGGCTCCGTGCTCAGGGGGGAGTCTGCTTGAGATTCTCTCTCTCTCTCTGCACCCCCCCATTCCGCCCCCCATGCTCTCTCTCTCTTTCAAATAAACAAAAATTTTTTTTAAATAAATAAAATCTTAAAAAAAAAATCTTAAACCAAAGAACTTGGTTAAAAAATTTGCAGGATTTAAAAATCTTTAAGGACATGTTAATATTTCTAATATCTAATCTTTATATTTTTCTATCTTAAGTTTCTCATCTTTTAAAACCGAGACTTTTGGTTTGCAAAATGTACACAGGATGCAAAACAATTTTAAATCAGTTAAATTTTCCATTTACAGTCATTAACTTACCCTTTCTCATTTTCTCTCTTAAATCTGTGGGGTCAGCTTGCATTCCCATCAGATTTTGTTTCATCCTTTGAATGCTTCCTTTTATTCTAAATTTAGTGATACTGTAAGAGTATGAGAGAGTGAACTGGAATTGTTCCTCAATGCATTTCATGGTCATCCGTATTAATTGATCTTTTTTCACTTGGTCCTTTTCTGCTGCCTGGAGAACATCAGGATTGTAGGCAACATCGATGACTGTATAAACATCTGTGTGTGTAATTCGGAGGATGTGAAATGAGGACAACTTGTTCCACTGATGATACTGTCAGATAATATATTAGGTCATAATCCTGGATAAAGCTAGAAGGCAAAATTCTATTCCTGTATTTTTCAGAGGTAATCACAATGGTGCCAAATATACAAATTTCCAATTAGGGCATTTCTTGGCATTTTATATGGGTTACTATTAGAAAAATTAAATAGCATTCAATTTATATAAATAAATAAAGGTATGCTTATTAGTTATTAACTACATTATAACCAAATAAAATATTTTACTTGTAATGCCTTTTACCAAGTAAAATCTGGTCCATGCTTATTCCCAATAGAGTTTTTAAAATGTGCTTTCTCTCCCTTAATTCTATGTACCTGATGTCTCAGACATATCTTCTGGTCTGCCAACACTTAGAGGTACTGGATGAGTGGTTGACTGGGGAGCTGGGATCCTTTTCCACTGACACAGGTTAATAAAAAGTACTTTTTCCTTTGGTTTCTAAAAAACAAATACATGTCTCAAAATCTAGTGTTTTTTTTTTTTCATTTAAAAATAATATCCTAAAGGTAACTCATCACAGAATTTGAAGAGGGAGAATTTTAGTCACCAAGTAAGCCATTCCATGCATTAAACTGTGTTTGAAAATTGTCCTGTTACCTCATTTCCCCCAAGCTACTGACTTTTCAAGATCCAGTTGTTGCTCCCAGAGGAACTGGGACGAAGGAGAGGGAACCGATCTAAACAGCTATTCAGGGTGAATATGACCCTATTTCACCACTTCCTTACCTCCCAGCCAAGTAAGTTCTCTTTATTTGAAAAACTTCCAATTCTACGAGTCTCTGTTAAATCATTACATTACTTTTTTTTTATTCTAGTAGAAAATGACTTTGAGATCTCCAAAATATATCATATGTGAATTTCCCATTCTTACTCCTTCAACATAATCTTCCATACTATGTTTCACTCTCCCTTTAGAGTGGCGGTTCCCCTCAAGTTTTCTTAAAGTAGCAATAGCTAAAGGTAAGTGATTCTCTGATTATTCCAGGATTCTTTCGCTCAAGATCTCCCATCCCTGGGTACCAACACTACATACCAGGATCCTGGTTTGTAGACAGAGCTGTGGTTCTGGGGTGGCACAGAGCTGTTTCCCTTCTTTCAGCTGCTGTTGAATGAACTTCTCGTAGCTCTCAGGATTAGTTTCAGCCAGATCATCGAGGAGGTTCCAGAACTGAGTAACCTGAGTGAGCAGACCCTTTGAGGAAGACTCCATGATTGAGGTAAACAGGTCTCTTGAGTCTGTGGAAAGATAGGACTTCAGGGGGAAAAAGGTCTTTGTAACTAATGGTTCATTTCTTCTTTTGGAGGAGGAGGAACAAACAGGTCAGGAATTGTTTTGGTGAAGTTAGCACCTGTGTCTAAAAGACTGTGGCTCAGCACCACTTTTCTTTACCTTATTCTCTAATTATCTAGTCCCCCTCACACAAGTCCTCACCTCTGCCTAGACTCTCAACAGCACTGAGGGTAGTCAGTTAAAGTCTGGATTACCCGGTGACCCATTTCTTGTTCCGATACCTGGGTATTGGCTGACTGGTGCCTATCCAGTCCTGAAATTGCCAGAGAGCTACAGGAGACTTCCTCACAGCTTAGTAGTTAAAAAGCAAGGATTCTGGAGCCAGAATGCCTAGATCCCCATCTTGGCTTTATCACGTACTAGGTGTGGTACCTTGAGCAATGAAGTTATGTATCAGTCTATTCTCAAAGTGAAGACGATAATACCTATCTCGTAGGGTTATTGTGACAATTAAGTATGCTCATATAGAGAGGCTAGGACACTTCGTAAACACTAGGAGAATACTAATATCATCTGGGTCTCCTCCCTCGCTCTCCTCTCCCACTGGAGAGGCGTCCCACAGCAGCCACAGAAGGAGGAAAAGAGGTTTGGGTTCCCCGAATACTATATTAGGGTTAAACTAAACGGGAAGCTTAACTAAAGGACAATCTTCCCAGAGATCCGCGAACCCACCTCTTCTCTCGGTTCCTTGACAAACCGCGACGCCTGTTACTAGGGTAACCGGACCGGGTACAACATCTAACTGGGTCCGGAAAGGTCCAGGAAGAAAGGATTTTTACATCCAGTTCCGGAATCTCCCCCCTTCTGGTGTCGGGCCTGCTTTTCAGCCGAGACCGACCCACTTCTTTCCCAGGAAGGCGCCCGCCTCCCCTCTGCACCTTTCGATCTCTAGAGGATGCTGGAAACCCTCCCCGTGGGAGTCTCTGGGTCTCCTGTGGGTGGGAAGAGTTTCTCCGGAGCACGACTTCCGGCCTGAAAGGGAAGCCCGCTCCCTTGTCTCCCAGACCGATTCCTCCCCCCAAATCCCCGCCACGCGAGGCTGCGGCGCACGGTATGGGTGTATTTGTGTGTGTTTGTATGGGGAGGGCGTTTGGAGGGAAGGTTACCGGGAGCTCCGTGGCCGCTGGGGGGCAGGGATCCCGGTGACAGAGACGGGGGTATTTTCTCTGCCTTCCACTTGGAAGCCTCAACCCCCTCCCCCCCCCTTCGGGCACTCTGGGTGTTTCTTGGGGCCCATTCGAGGGTTGTACCCGTCCAGAGCGTCCCCATCCTTTCGGGAGAGCGAAGCCCAATCCTCGGGTCTGTCCCGGAGGAGCGTGAGCGGGGCATGCCCCCATGCCCGTCAAGCCGGCTGTCCGGATTCCGCGCCGGCGCAGCCTCCGGCCTCGGTCCGGAAAGAGATCTTCCTGTCGGTGTGGGCTGGGGGAAAGGCAGCGTGGCCTGGGCCACGGGTGAGGGCAGAATAACCGGTGGGAAGGCTGCATTTTCACGAAGGACTCGGGTGAAGCTGCAGAGCTGCCTTTGAGCCCTGACTCCTTGGCTTCCTGGGTCGGAGGAGATCTTGTAATGGAGTGGTTCTTCGTCTCACACTAGCAAGATGCCTGATTTCCTCAGGATCGAGGGGTGAGTGAGCGGTGGGGTGGTTGCACAAAACCGCTGCTAGCTACACACCGAATATCCTTGTCATCTGTTTTTTGGAGGCTTCTGTACAAAATAGAAAGTAAAAGTCCCCTGAATGGAGAAATTTAGGGCGTGTCTGCATTTGATGTCAGATGTTGACATTTGTGGTCCCTGACATTGTCAGATCTAGGTATTTGCTTCATCACAAACTAATTTTGAGATTGGAAAGTTGATTTCTAATCTGGATCTTGTTTACATTGGGCTCTCTGGCCTGGGGCAAGTTATGCTTAAGGGAATTTCATCTACAAAATAGGAATGAAGATGCTTGCCTCATATAAAACATGGGGTTGTTTTGAGGATTAAATAAAATGGTGCTCTTGAAGGCACTTGATTCTGTGCAGTTTGAAAGAACTTGGATGTCCACTATCTCACTGTACATTCATCTGCACATTACTGTGGTCGGGCATTTTCCCCTTTTAGTGGTGAAGGGAAAACTACCTCTCAGGACCTCTGACTTCTTGTTCAGTGATCTTTCCTTTACCTCATGCTTCTTTAAAACACTGTAATAAAAGATAAGATAATAAAGGAAATTATTGTTATTAAATGTTATTTATTGATTCGTTTCAGATTGAAGAATGTCCCGTGTTCCATTGGGGAAGGTCCTCCTGAGGAATGTCATCCGGCACACAGATGCTCACAATAAGGTGAGAGGTACAATGTAGTTATTCCTCAGCATTTATTGGAGGCATACAGTGTGCCATGCATGATTTTGGTAGTTTGGAGATACAAAGATGAATAAAATAGATAATTATAATCGATTTGATAAGTACTATAGTAGAGACATACACAAAGTGCTTCAGTGCACTGCGGAAGGAACAGTGAAATCTGCCTTGGGAAATTAGGAAAGGCTTCACAGAACGTGTGGTATTTGAGCTGCTATATTTGAACTAGTTTTTGGTGAACAGGTTCAAATTTACCAGGTGTAAAAGATCATTCCAGACTGAACATCTTGTACTCATATGGCGACAAAGAAGAGCATGAAGCACTTGGGGTGTGGCAAGAAAGCATGTCCATCTGGAAAGTAGGGAGTGTTGTGGGGAGGTGGGTAGTGAGAGAAGATGAGGCTCAAGTGGTAAATTAGAATTGGATTGTGATGCTTGGAGATTAGACTTTTTCCTCTGAACAGTAAAGAAGCTATCAAATGTTTTTAAGCAGGGTGTGACAAGATTGTATTGGTATTTTAGAAAGATGATTTGTTAGCTGGGTAGGGGATGATAGACCAGATGGAATGAAACAGTAGAAACACCAGTTAGGCAATTGCAGTGCTCCAAGTGAGAGACGATGAGGAGTTCACATGAAAACAGTGACAGTAGGGATGAAGATGAGGAATTGAGGAGATAGAATCCAAAGGATTTGGTGACTAATTTAAACATAAAGGGTCATCACTTGATCATTGAAGCATAGTTGCAAAATTAAAAGGGGATAAATGAGTCTATGCAGGGTTAAAAAGTTCTCCTGTTGCTGCAGAATTCTACATATTTGAGATTGACTGGGTCGGATTATTTAGAGAATCCTGAATTTGTTTCCCAGGTTCCTGATTATGACCCAGTCTGTAATACAATAATTGGTGCAGAGTGTATTGTCAGTTACTTTTCTGTGATATAAAATATTGTTTTTAGTAATTATATTTCTTTTCTTTTAAAAAATCTAGATTCAGGAGGAATCAGATATGTGGAAAATAAGAGAACTGGAGAAACAGATGGAAGATGCTTACCGGGGGACCAAAAGGAAAATGTTACCCAGTAGTTCAAGGTGAAGTTGGAGCTCTAAGACCCAGAATAACTCAGATCTTGTTCAGAACCATCAACTTTCATTTAAAAGCATTTTAGTATGCTAAAGATAGATGAGTTCAGTTCTGTGAATCTTTAAGCCTTCCTTCCTTCATGAATCTAGACCCAAGCATAAAGGTAATGGCTATGATGCGTATGGCTTAACTCTTAGTATTTATTTGCAATGGGGAATTTTTAAAAGTTCTATCTTGAACAACTTTAAAAGTTAAAGATTCTGTGTATTCTGACCTTGTCTGGTGGCTTTTAAGATTTTCTGTTGCTATCTTATGGTCACTTAGCTATCATTTACTCTTGTCCCCTTTTATTAGTCTTTGATTTTCCCTCAGCCTTTTCTTTACCCCATCTACTTCGTGTGTTCACCAAGTCACACAACTTTCACATTACCTTTTTAATAATTTCAGTGTGAATATGCAGGGTTATGCAGGCTTAGTTGTCTTGTTTGTGGAGGTATAGGAGTGTCTGAGTATTGAGAACATTTCTTGGGCTTCATATGCCTGTTAGTGTATAGCTGTATGTATGAAAAATGACTGTAGTAATAATGCCGATTTCTTTTTTTTTAATTTATTTTATTGTGTTATGTTAGTCACCATACATTACATCATTAGTTTTGTTTTTTTGTTCTGTTTTTTTTTTTGTTGTTGTTCTTTTTTCCCTCCAGCTTTATTGAGATATAATTGACATATAACATGTAGGTATACAATATGATGATGACTTGATACATACATACTGCAGAATGATTATTACAATGAGGTTAGCTAACACATCACCTGACACAATTACCTTGTATGTGTGGGGGTGTGTGTGGTGATAACATTTAAGATTTATTCTCTTAGCAACTTTTAAATATATATTACGGTGGTGTTAACTATAATCATCTTTGCTGTACATTAGATCCCCAGAATTTATTCATCTTATAACTGGAAGTTTGTACCCTTTGACCAACATATCTCCAGCCCCTGGCGACCACCATCATACTCTCTATTTCTATGAGTTTGGACTTTTAGATTCCACTGTAGTGTTCCATGATTCATTGTTTGCATATAACACCCAGTACTCCATTCAATACGTGCCCTTCTTAATACCCATCACCGAGCTAACCCATCCCCCCATCCCCATATAATGCCGATTTCTAAAGTTACCCAGGGAAACAGTTAACAGTGAGATATTAGAGAGTGAGTGTGCCTGTGTAGTACTCAGCCTTTGGAGTGCGATTGACTGTATGTCTGAGGTGCTTCAGAGAAGGAAGTATTCAGGGTATCCAAGGTAAAGAAGGCAGAGTCTCAATATAAAAATAAATATCCTTGCGGTCTGTTTTCTTGCTGAAGATGGTCCTTTGAGAATTTAGAAGTAAAGTTAGTGCAGATGATAATTTGTCTTCTATTGGTTGTTCAATTCCAAGCAGCATTTCCAGAAACAAAATGTTGTTTTCATTTTTATTATTTATTTATTTTTAAAGATTTTATTTATTATTATTTACATAAAAATTTTTGTTAAAGATTTTATTTATTTATTTGACACAGAGAGAGAGAGACAGCGAGAGAGGGAACACAAGCAGGGAGAGTGGCAGAGGGAGAAGCAGGCTTCCTACTGAGCAAGGAGCCTGATGTGGGGCTCGATCCCAGGACCCTGGCATCATGACCTGAGCCAAAGGCAGATGCTTAATGACTGAGCCACCCAGGCGTCCCCAAAATGTTGTTTTTAGAGTGAATTATTGATACCTGTCATGGTCTAATAAATCTTTAAAACCATAATCCCTAAAGAAATTCTGACTGTCTTACTCCCTGTAGCTAGAATGGCGACTAGCATATAGGAGGCCCTTAAACATTTTGGTAGTTGATTAGCCTGCTGAGTGACTTGTTAGTGGACCTTGTAAGCACAGGCTATATCTGTGGTTCTCAACTTTTTTTCTACCCCAGCCTACTCATGGGTTAGGCCTTGCTCCTACATTACTATGACCTCACTATAGCAAGTTGCTGGTTTTCTGGGAAGGGAATATATTTCTAGGGTAGTTTGCAATGTTCCCAGCTGTGATTATGCTCTACTCCCCTCTTTGCATGTCCTCCTACTTGAGAGTCAATGCGTGAGCTATAGCATGCCACAGTCCATAAGTCATTTTGTCTGTATTCTGCAATAGGATGGGTAGTAATGGTCAGATTTTCACTGGACAACTGTACAGACTTATGGAGAGAAACAGATAATGTCTTTTTACATTGTTTTTTTTTTTTTTTTTTTAGCACTAAATTGGTGGTTTTGTTTTCCTCTTAGCTTGTTCAATGGGTTTTGTGCATGCCATTCGTTAAAGGAACCTCACAGATTGGTTCTAAATGTAAAATTCTTCTGTTTTTCCCTATAGCCGGATGCGTAGTGATGGTTTTGATGAAGAAAGTCAAAGAGACTATTGGAGGCCAAAGAATGAAATTTCTGGGGCACTGGAAGATGATTTTCTTAAGGCTAAATCCTGGAATAAGAAGTTATATGATTATGAAGCTAATATGCCAGACAGGTTTGTGACAAAATTCTTGTGACCATTAATAATATTTGGCCTGAGAATGTGTACTTTTATTTTTTATTTATTTATTTTTATATATTTTTTTAAGATTTTATTTATTGAGAGAGAGAGTGAGAGAGAGAGCCCAAGAGGGGGTAGGGTCAGAGGGAGAAGCAGACTCCCTGCTGAGCAGGGAGCCCGACATGGGACTCGATTATGGGACTCCGGGATCATGACCTGAGCCGAAGGCAGTTGCTTAACCAACTGAGCCACCCAGGCACCCGAGAATGTGTACTTTTAAAAATTAATTATCTCTACAAAAACTTGCACACAAATGTTCATAGCATAATTATCGTAATGGCCAAAAAGTAGAAACCCAAATGTCTATCAACTGATGAATGGATAAACAAAATGTGGTACAGTAGGCCCCCCCCTTCAAGCCCCCCCAGTGGTTGCCTAAATCTGTGAATAGTACTGAACCCTATATATACTGGGTTTTTTTTTCTGTACATACATACATACATACCTATGATAAAGTTTAATTTCTAAATTGGGGACAGTAAGAGCGTAACAATAACTAAAAATAGAACAATTATAACAATATACTGTAATAAAATTTATGTGAATGTCATCTCTCATTTTATTTGTACTGTACTCTTGTGAGAATGTGGGATGATAGAATGCCTACGAGATGAGAGGAAGTGAGGGGAATGACGTAGGCTTTTTGTTGTAGCATTAGGCTACTCCTGACCTCTGACGGTATGACAGGAGGGTGATCTGCTTCCAGAAAGCAGAACTGCAGATAAGGGGGTACTAATGGAATGTTATTTGATGATAAAAGGGATAAAGTACTGGTAAGTGCTACAACATGGATGAGCCTTGGAAATAGGTGAAAAAAGCCAGACACAGAGGGCCACTTATTATGATTCTATTTATATGATATGTCCAGAATAGGCAAATCCATAGAGACAGAAATTAGATTCGTGGTTGCCATGGGCTACAGGAGAGGGAGGAATGGAGAGTGACTGCTAAGGGATGGAGTTCCTTTTTGGGTGATGAAAATGTTCTGAAATTAGATAGTGATGATGGTTGCACAGCTCTGAATATACTAAAAGCCACTGAATTGTACACTTTAAGAGGGTGAATTTCATGTTATAGGAATTATACCTCAATAAAATTGCTTGGCTCAGTTGGTTAAGTGACCGCCTTCGGCTCAGGTCATGACCCTGGAGTCCGGGGATCGAGTCCCGCATTGGGCTCCCTGCTCAGCGGGGAGTCTGCTTCTCCCTCTGACCTTCCCCCATCTTGGGCTCTCTCTCACTCTCTCTCTCTCAAATAAATAAAATAAAATATTAAAAAAAATAAAAATAAAATTGCTATGTAAAAAAAAAAAATTGTTCCATTGCTGACAGCACTGTTACAAGTTGTTTTTGGAGAAGTACTTCACAGCTAAAGAGCAGAATAGAAGAGTTCCTTATCTTAAGAATGGCAAGTTCTCAAAAAAAAAAAAAAGAATAGCAAGTTCTCTTACAAATGGACAAAAGAATCCTTTGTGTCTGAAATGATAACATACAGTACAGAAAATGTAGCCAACTAAGTTACTGAGCTTGAAGGTGGGGTTGGCTCTACCATATCTTTATTTTCTTTGTTCTATGTGCATGTCTGTGTCTTGCATGCACTAAGTCTAATTTTTTTTAATTTTCAAAAATGTATGCATTGCTTTAATAATAATGTAATAAAATACGTCATCTTACAGATGGGGTCACAGTGGTTATAAAGAGTTATACCCTGAAGAATTTGAAACAGACAGGTAAGGCAAATAGGCTTACTGAAAAAAAAAAACAAAAAAACTAGAAACTGTAAGATTAATTCCAAGTCTGAACTATAAATTGGGTTCCTAATTTTACAAAGGAGATAATGTTTGCCATTAAAAATGTAACTAGAAAAATAATAGGCAATTTAGTTGGGAGATAATTGGTATTTTGCCTTTTTCTGATTGATGTTCTGTATATATATATATAGCATTTAGGTTTTTATACATAGTATTCCATACAGTAACTCAGTTTGGCAGATTAGAATTTTTATCTTCATTTTAAGAAAACAAAATGAGGAAACAAAACTCTGAGAATGATCAAGTCACATAGTAACCCTATGTCAAAGCTCCTAAATTTCAAATGTTAACCCCAACTTTTTTTAAGATTTTATTTATTTATTTGAGAGAGAGAGAGAGCAAGCGAGCACAAGAGCAGGGGGAGGGGCAGAGGTAGAAGCTGAATTCCCGCTGAGCGGGAGGGAGCCTGATATGTGGCTCCATCCTGGGACCCTGAGATCATGACCTGAGCTGAAGACAGACGCTTAACCGACTGAGCCACTGAGGTGCTTCTAACCCCAACATTCTATCTAGAATGCAGAATACTAAAATACAAATACACTTTTTATTTTCTATAGTAAAGCAGTTTCTCTTTTTTATTAGTAGTGATCAGCAAGATATTACCAATGGGAAAAAAACATCTCCCCAAGTAAAATCATCTACCCATGAGTCTCACAAACACAAGAAGTCAAAGAAATCTCACAAAAAAAAGCAGAAAAAAAAGTCACACAAAAAACAGAAGAAAAGCAAAAAAGAAGCCACAGATATAACAGCAGATTCCTCAAGTGAGTTCTCGGAAGAAACCGGGGCTTCTAGTACCAGGAAAAGGAAACAGTCACATAAGCGCAAGAAAAAATCCAGGAAAAAGTCTCTTAAAAAATCTGCTTTATTCTTGGATGCAGAAAGTGACACTTCCCAGTCAGATGATTCCGCATCCAGCAGTTCTGAGGAAGGTGAGGAAAGAGACACTAAGAAAACCAAAAGGAAAAAGACAGATAAAAAAGTCCATATCCCTGTAGTTAACAATGAAATACAGGAGAGGACGAACAAACGCACAAATTGGAAAGTGGCTACAGATGAAAGGTCTGCAGAGAGTTCAGAGGATGACTAAATGAGGAGACCTTCTCCATTTCCCATCTGACTGGTTACTTACAGCTCTTCCACCTGGGGGTTTTGCCAGTGATTCTGTTGCCCGGCACAGGGGCCCTGAGGTCAGAGCTGTCCTGTGCCATCTATCTACGTTCTGACAGACTTCGTGTCTTCTGTTTTGGCCTGTTAAACTTGATCCTCTTATTGTTAACAGGGAATCTGGTATTTTGTTATGAAGTTTTCTTGAAGAGATTATTTTTTGCAATTAATCACATTTAGGGTAGAGTGCAAATGCAACAAATTAAAGGACCCAGAAAGCTGAATGCCAGTAACAACCTGGGTACACCAAATGGGATGTAGAATTTGGGGAAAGCAAGGGCTGGGATCAAGAGGTGGATTGGAACTGGTGCTGTGTAGAATGTTGGAACATCGTGTTGCTCTGTTTATATAGCAGGTGCCACAACTTTGTCTTCAGCCTTGGTGCTTTGATCTTTCTGTATTTTGGCCTCATAGATGCGGTCCAGTTTATTTAATGAGAAAATGAGTATAAGAGCAAGACATTTTTCCTTCATGATAACATCCATAGACAGCTGTTATTATGAGACTAGGGTTTTCTGTCAAATTTCCCTGCTGGACAGGGTCTGTGGCTACAGTAATACCCCTAAACATGGTAATTGGTTTAGTAAATGGTTTTCTACGTCCTGTATATTGCCTAACTGGACTTGTGTTCGAAGTTATTTCTTCAGTTGTTTTGGTCAAGTCCTCAACCAAATGGGATAAAATTAGGAATTAGTCACGCTGTCTGATGGCATTTAAATATTATCTTCCTTGTTCATTTCTAAATCCATTATAGATTTTCCCTGAAACTAGGTTGAACCAGTTCCAAAATGCAACAGGCTTCTCAGGGACTCACCCACTTCTTCCCAGTTTGCCTTCTGATTAAAGCACCAAGCAGAGACCATATTATTTCCCTTTGCTATATACTGTGATCCCTACTGTTAATTCTTAAGAAACCAAAATATCACTGAAAAAAGGCTGGCAGAGCACAAGTGAATTTTTTCATTATGACAGAATACCAAGTGACATATTGTTTTTTTCTGGTTGTCACTTCATGGGCTGGGTAGAAAGCTTGAAAACTCAGACTTTGGTCTTGGTTCTGCCACTAATTAGTTATGAGGTCTGCAAAAGGTAAGTTAACCTCCCTGGCCTTACTTTCCCCGTGTATAATATAGAAATACTTCATGGTAGCATGACAGTGTAAGACACCAGCAATAGAATATAACTGTAACAACATTCCATGAGGTGGTAATATTTTACAGTTCTAACGACTAAATTTGTTCTCTTTACAGAACAGATGTCTAATAAAATGTTTAGTCATAAAATACATGGTTGGCTAGAGGTTCCCTATCCCTTGATTATAAGCAGGTGCTACCTTTGGGAATATTTACTTGAAATATTAATACTTTGGTACTCAATTGTCAATGTTCCATGGCATATATTTTTACCTTTGGGATTAGTAGGGGCCCAAGGTGGGGCAAGCAGTCTGTAATTACTACCTCTTAACCTAAAGACAAATTGTTTTGTTCTTGGAATAAGTGAAATCTTTGTTGGAAGGAGTTTTCAGCACGTTTTTTTTTTTAGCATTGTTTCTGTGCTGTAAAAGTACTGATTCTAGCACAGACTCAGGAAGATGGGCCAGTGGAACAGGCATCTCCAGGAAGTTGGTTCTGCTTCAGTCTTGACCTTCCCTTCCTCCCCACTACTAGCAGGTCTATTTCTTTCCCAAGAATACACATCCTGCCTGTTTTGTTTTTGCCATGTTTACTTTTTCTCGGTCATATATAAGCAATAAAGCTATTTTCTGTTCTTCACCTTTCTCAACCCCAATTTTTCTTCTATACCTTAGGCTAAGTCTTTGATGGTTCTTCTAGCCCCCTTAAATATGGCTGAGGATGGCCTTTCAAAACCTAAAGATCTCTCATTTGCACTACTGGTCTTGGAACGTACTTCCAATGTTCCTGCCAATCAGAGATCTCTATATTAAATCCTAAAATGGGATTAAGGAAAAAAAAGAAAAAGTTGGAGAATTCAGATTTATTGAATAACTGTTGTGATAAAACATGGAATTTCTGAATTCCAAATAAATAAATTTCACTTTTTGAACATTTGATCTGTTACTTCTTAGCACCAATAGGCTTGGTAACAGCCTCAAGTTCACCTGACAACAGGCTGACAACTTTCCCCCACTGGCCCTTCCATCTGCTTAACAAGTCCTTTGCTTCTGTCATTCTCCCAGGGGATGCCCTACTGCCCTCCTTTCTGTACAATCTGGGCAAACCGACTGGTGATGGCAAGAGTAGTGTCAATGAAGCGGTCCACGCAGCTAGAGAGACAATTTTCAGTGCGAGAGTCTAGGCGATTCCCTGGCTTCTCCACACATTTATCCCAGCACAGCTCCATGAAGTGATGCACCTAAGACGAAAGAAAATTAGTAACCATTGCTGTCTGCATATAGGTCTAACTGCCAACTTTATTTCCTTCCTGTCTTTCTCCTTTTCTGTCACTTGACTAAACCATTCTTTCAGTCAACAAACCATGGGCTCTCTTTCCTCACTTCCTAATTTGTCATTAGTATGGTCCAGATCCTTGTTCCTACATTGCAATAATCCTTTATCCTTTCTGTTTCTGTTTTTCTCCTCTTTAGTAATTAAAAATAACTTTCCATCAGGTCACCCCTGTGCTTAATGCACAATTCCTCTGTTAGCCACTCAGGGCAGCCCATTATTTTAACCACCAACCTGTTAAGCTTCAATGAAGTACACACACAGCATACTCAATGTGACTTAATATTCCCGGAATGCCCTACCTAAAGATTTGTCCCATTCTTCAAAACAGTTCAAATTTTCACCTCCTTGAAGGCCGTTGTCTATTTTTTCCGATTGTGTGAAGTCCTTAATCAGACTGTAAATTTTCAGGCAGGGTTGGAAGTATTCCCAAGTTGTACCAGTGTAAGCTGGGAAGGTGTGGTACCAATTAATTTCCCCCAAAACCACTGCTCTCCTGTCATTCCAAACCTATCCCTTACAGACTAGTTCCTAAGTTCCAAACCTTTTTGGGGTCATGGACACATTTGTGAATCCAATGAAGGTTATGGATCCACTCTCCACAAAAATGCACATCAGGTACAGAAAATGTGTTTTTGCTATTTAATCCGTCGCGAACACCGCCCCCCCACACAAGGGGGGGTAACCATGTACTGAGGGCTTCCTAGACTGGGTACTAAGCAGTCAGTACTTTCTGCGGTCCTAAAATATGACTGTCATCTCCGTTTGGTTAAGCAATTAGCCACGCTGCTAGTGGTGCCGCCAGTAAGGGTCCACGCCGGGTTTCGAACCATGCCGAACAGGCTCCAAAACACTTGTTCTAACCTGCAGTCCAAACTGACTACTTCAGAGCCCACCTTTCTCCATTAATGTTCCACTGCTTTGTCGTTTTCAAATACATGATCGCATATGATCTCTACAGTCCAGTGAGGCAGCAGGAGACTGCAGAACCGAGACCCACAGCGGCTGGGTGTCTTGTGTAGGGGCACGCGGCCTGTAAGGGGCAGAGGCAGGATCAGAACCAGAGCTTCCGAAGGCCAAGCCCAGAGAGCTCGCCGCCAAACCAGGTTCCGTTGCCCTTGCGTCGCCCGAACCTTTCTTCTCTGCTTTACACTTTCTCTTTCCCGCACGCTGGGTGTGCCTAGCGGGCGCCTGAGCACTACTGGTCAGCAGAGGCTGGAGTCTTTTCTGGGAAGAACCCGGCGCGGCAGGAGCGAGCACGGGGCAGTCCCCCCGTGGTGATGTCGCAGAGCTCTGCTCGTTTTTTCCTAGCGGCTGTCACCTCACGGGCTGAATAAGAAGTCTGAAAACTCAACCCGTGCCTCACCCTCCTGTCTCTTCCCCTTGGTGCCTGTCCCCGCACCTGTGCAGTGAACTGCGCCTTCTGTTGTTCGGCTGCCACCAGGCGCTGGAACTCCGCTTCGTCCGCCTCACCCAGCTCCGCCATCGTCCGCCTACAGCTCCGGCCTTCCGACGAGCGTGTGCGCGCATGTGCGGCGGGCGCGCGCCGGCTTCCGACTTCCGGTTCACCCGGCATTTTCCGTCGCCCTGTTTTCTCGAGTCCTCGCGGGTTGGGAGTTGTCGAGTGACTGCTTCCGGGTTGCCGGGTGACCTTGAGCCTTCAGAAGCGAGATGGCGAGTCTCTGGAGGTTGAGTGTCCTGTGCGGTGCGCAAGGAGGCCGAGGTGAGGGGTCCTGGGAGCGGGAGTTTCTTAGCGCAGCCTCCAGCCGGGGAAGGGAGTGCAGCGAGGATTTGTCTGCCGGCTGGTGAGGCCTCTTAAGCAGGGAATCCTTCCTCCGTCCCGTTGGCCGATCTGGCTCCGGTCAGCACCACAGCTGTAACCTCCGTTGTCTACGCGCCCAGATGTCCTCCGAGCGCGTTATCTCCCCTGCTACGGGCTGACACGGGGAATGGGGTAATCCGAAAGAGAGGTCCTGGAAGTTAAGTTCTGCTGACGCTGTTCCTAAGAGTTTTTTTCCTTTTTTTTTTTTTTTTCCCCCTCCCCATTCGCTGTCCTTAGAATGCGCCCACCCCGCTTCGGAAAAGTGTGGGGTTAGGCTCCAAACCCCAGTGTCTGGCCTTTCCCATTTACCCTGGAGTTGGTGGAGAGGGGCTTCTGGAAATCAATTCGATAATCACTGCACTGGACATTTGTGTTATACCAGGCACCGTAGTAGGAACGGGATACAAATGTGTATAAAACATAGTTCTTGCCCTGGAAGAGTTTTCATTTTTATAGGGAAAACACATGTAAACATAATTTAACATAAAGCAGAAACTCTTGTGCTGCACATAAATTGTTATGCCAGTCCAGAGGAAGAACATATTTAGCTCTGTGTTTTGGAAGAATTACCCTGTCTTGGTGTCTGAAGGAGGTGTGTGTGTCTTGAGGATAAGGAAGGCCACAGGGGGAAGGGCATTACAGGTGGAACTACTGGGATGAGAAGTGATGATGAAGGTGTAGGAACAGCGAGGTAGGAGAGAAAATAAACTAGATATGATTAGAGTATGAAGCTCACGGTGAGGGATGAGAGCTGAATCTGGAAAGGTGAACTGGAATCAAATCATGGAAGAACTTGCCTTGATGTGGAGTATGCATTTACCTGATGTAAACAGGACCACTGAAAGATTTGACATAGAGTTGAAGTTTAGATTGGCTACTTGGATAACACTGTGGTAGATGGCCGTCATAGGAGATAGGACAGGCTAAGACGCAAGTCAGGGAGATGAGATAGGACACTGTTGTAGTGCAGGCAAGGATTGTGAGGTCCTGAACTTGGAAAGTGGCACAAAAAAGAGCAGATTGTCTCAAGAAATGTTAAGGAGATACATCGGTATGACTTGGCGATTGACAATTTCGCGGTGTTGGGGGGAGTTTTATATGACTTACAGATTTTTGGGTTAAAGAGTGGGGTGTTATTAAATAAAGTGGGGAACATGCAAATGGGTGACAAGTTTGGTTGAGAAAGTGAGTTGAAGGGTGATTTTAGTTTTTGGCATAGTGAGTTTGAGCATCATGTAGGATATCTTAAGGGAGAGACCCAGCAAGCACTTAAACTTCTGAAACACTGGAGAGATGACAGGGCTGCAGATGCAAAATTGGGTCTCATCAGGTTACAGGTAGTATAAGCTGAGTGGACAAAATGGCCAAGGGAGGGCTTAGGACATGAGAGCAGTGGGCAGATGATAGAATGCTAGGAAAACATATAAAAGCGTGTGCAGCAGTGAAGGCAGAAGTACCTGTGTGGGCAAAGACTTCGTGCAGAAATAATTACAGTGTTAAGAATGATAAGCTATCTCGGACTGAACACTTTAAGCCCTAGATTCATTATACACATTATCTCATTTAAGCCCCCAGACAGGTAGATACTGCTATCCCCATTATTTTATTTTATTTAAAAAAAAAAAAAGCTGTAGGAAGGTGTAGGAACAGCGAGGAGACTGATACAGGATGTCAGAGGAGACTGATACAGGATGTCAGAGGATCAGAGGGGGGACTAGAAGAGAGTTCATCAGAAAAGAAGAGAGGAAAGGCCCGATAAGATGAAGACTGAACAGTATTTGTTGGATGTGACCACATGGAGACCATTGGCAACTTAATAAAGCAGTTGTAGTCAGGATGAAACAAGTTTCAGAGTTGAAGAATGATAGGGAAGTGAGGAAGTGGAGGTGATTTAGACAATATTTTAAAGAAGCATAGTTGGAAAGAGAAGAAAGGGAGCAGGGGAAGAGTGCATGACATTAGAGGACACAGGGTCAAGGGAGGGGTCACATATATTACATCAGTCAGGGGGAAATGGCCAACAGGAAGGAAGGAGAGGTGAAAGACACAGGAGAGAAAATACCTTTTAATTGAGTACTTACGACATTATGGGAATTACGCTCAGCACCTTGAGTATTTTAATTTTCAGTGTAGTATTATGAAGTAAGTGCTACTATTTTCATTTTACAGATGAGGACATTGAGGCTTAGAGAATTTATTTAACTTAATTGCCCATCACTGCATAGCTAGTAAGTGGTAGAGTTGTGTGAACTTAAGTCTGTTTTTTAACCAAGAGACAGGATCCAAAAGGGGACAGAAAAGGATAGGTTCAAAAGTACAAGTGGAGGGGCGCCTGGTTGCTCAGTCTTTTAAGTGTCTGACTCTTGATTTCGGCTTGGGTCATGATCTCAGGGTTATGAGATCGAACCCCATGTCAGGTTCGTGCTTGGTGTGGAGCCTGCTTAAGATTCTTTCTCTCCTGCTCCCTCTGCCCCCCAACACCCCTGAAAGAGTACAAGTGGAGAGGGGCACCTGGATGGCTCAGTCAGTAGAGCATGTGACTCTCAATTCGGGGTTGTGAGTTCAAGTCCCACATTCGGTGTAGAGATTACTTATAAATAAAATCTTAAAAAAAAAAAAGGAACATGGTAATAGATGTGCTTCCCAAACTAGACTGAACTCTTTCAGGACAAAGGCTGTCTTTTGTCTCTTGCTCCAGTCTAGAGCATACTCTTACCTGTAGTAAATGTTTGTTGGATGAATAGATGAATATATGGAAAGAGAAAGGAGCTATAATTTACTTTTTAAAATTAGTAAGAGTGCAGGGGCGCCTGGGTGGCTCAGTCATTAAGCGTCTGCCTTCGGCTCAGGTCATGATCCCGGGGTCCTGGGATCGAGCCCCACATCGGGCTCCCTGCTCGGCGGGAAGCCTGCTTCTCCCTCTCCCACTCCCCCTGCTTGTGTTCCCTTTCTCGCTGTGTCTCTCTCTGTCAAATAAATAAAATCTTTAAAAAAATTAGTAAGAGTGCAGTGCTTTTACATAGGTGGTTCATTGATTTTTCGGTCTTTGAGGGGCTACTTTAGTGTGAGCTTATAACAACCCAGGGAAATAGATACTCCCCTCATTTTGCAGATGAGATGTTATTCCCTATTGGGGCTTAAGTAGCTTGCTTATGGTTATTTAGAAAGTCTGTCAGTCCTGTTAAAGGAGAAGTGTTTATGACCCCCCCCTAATGTCTCTTTCCTCAGCTCTGTTTCTCCGAATCCCGGTGGTCAGACCTGCTCAGGTCTCAGCATTTCTCCAGGACCAGCCTACCCCAGGATGGTGTAGAACACAGCACATTCACCTGTCACCCAACCACTATTGTATGTTTTTTTTTTCATTGCTGCTGCTTTTTGGGCTCTGGCCCTCTTCATCTGGGCAAATTTTCATGCCTTTGACAGGACTTGCTATCTGTGGAACAGGACTCTTATGTCCGACTCTGTCAAATGAGGACCTACCTAGCCTGCACCTTTGGGCAGACAATGCCAGCATGGTTGAATGATGCCATTTATACTCCTAGAGAACCTTCTGATCTAAGTTTATTTCAAACTTCAGTTTTTTTCTAAAAGGAAAATAGCTCTTAGGAAGAGTCTGTACAGTATAGTCAGTCTTACTTATTTAGCTGTTGGAGAGGAGCCAGATACAAATATTTTAGAGTAGTAGACAGTTTAAAAAGTCATACATATTTATAGCTGTAATTGACTTGCTTATTTTTATTTAGGTCAATATTAAAATCAAGTGGCATTTTTTAGGGTGAATATTATAGAAAATCTGTAGGTGAATAATGAGTTAACTATTTCCAGTTTTAAAGTCTGGAAAGATCTGTATTTTGCAGAGATAAAGACTTATCTTGACGCTTAAGTCAACAACTTACATATGGTTGCATCTGAGTTATGAGAAATTAGGCAAGTATAGTTTTTCTGCTTTTTAGAATTATTTTATCTTTGAAAAGGTTTTGTTTCTCCATTCCTAAATTTTAAATTTAGCAGAGTGATTTTAATTTGGGGTATGTGGGCTGAAGAAAAGCCCCTGAACTTGTAAACATAGTTTTTACTGTGTGTGTCCATGTGCATTTTTCTGGAGAGTATCTCCATTCTTCCATTAGATTCCCAAAGGGGTCTGTAACCAAAAAATGATAGAGGCTCCTGAAGAAATGTTTAAAGCGTATTTTGTTTTTCATTTATTTAAAAGAAGTTCTCATGTTCCATATTTGTTTTGGGCTATTTATAAGTAATGGGACAGAAGAAGGACCATAATCCTACAAGTTTGTATCAGAACTTTTTGAGTTGGCTGGTTTAATTTTGTTTTGGGAGTGTTTTTATTATTACCTTACTTCTAATTCTAAAGATTAGAAGGTGTAAATAAAAGAGTAATGTTGTAAAGGAATTCCTCAGTTGGTATTAACTTGTATTTATAAGGTATCTGTCTGTTACACTAAAGATGAAGATTGTTAATTCTGCAAAGGTACTTCGTTCATCTTCTTGCCTGTTGGCAAAATGCGTCAGTCTTCTAATCTATGTAAGCACCAAGATACATTGTGCTAAAGAACTTCAAAGAAGGGAGGTGGCATCTTTCTCAAGTACCTTGTTTATCTTAACTCTCTTTATGCTCAGAGCTAAGTCTTATATGCATGCTGTTTGCCATTCTGTCAGCTGGGTTATTTTGTGGCAAATATTGAATATGAGAGATGTGTGTTACCCCCTTCCAACTCTTACGAATCTGGTTCTTCCTTTCTGTAGCTAGTTCTAAGGCTGCATCTCTCCACTGGACTGGTGAGAGGGTTGTCAGTGTTTTGCTCCTGGGCCTAATTCCAGCTGCTTATTTGAATCCTGGCTCTGCGATGGACTACTCCCTGGCGGCAGCCCTCACTCTCCACAGTCACTGGCAAGTACAGCAGTCCCTTCAGTGTTAACATTGCCCAGTTTATTAGTTGTGAGCTTGTCTTATTAGAAGTTGATTGAGATACTCAGACCTGTAGATTACTTTAAAACATATATAAAATATTTATATGCCCAGATTTATGTGTCCACCTGCCTATTCGATGTCTTCACTTCCATAGCTAATAGGCATTTTGAATATAACATGTTATAAAACTGAGTTCTTGATCTCCCCAAATCTCTTCCTCTGGCACTCTTGCTCATCTGAATTAATGGCATTTCCATTCTTCTAACTACTCATGCCCCAAACCTGGTCATCATCTTTGATTCCAGTAGTAGTGTCCTAACTGGTCCTCCTTCTGTCCCCAACACAGCAGCCCCAGTGATCCTGTTAAAATATTAAGTCACGTCAAACATTCTCCTTCTCAAAATATTTTGCAGTCTTTTAACCTCCCTTAAATTAAAAGTCAGAATTCTTACGGTGGTCTACAGACCCGACATAATCTGGCCCTGTTTCTTCCCTCATCTCCCAACTACTCTCTTCCTCATTCTCACTGGCTTGATAATTCTTAGACACGCCAGGGACACTCCAGGCCTCAGGACTTTACTTTTACTCTTGCTTCTGCCCAGCACTCTCTTTTTCTAGTTATACACTTAGCTTGTTCCTCATTTCCTTCACATCTGAAATGTCACCTTCTCAATAAAGCCTTCTGTAACCACTTATTTACAGTTGCAGTGTCCTTCCCAGCATTACTTATCTCTCTCCCCTATTTTATTTTCCTCGGTAGTGCTTATTACCTTCTAATATACTGTATCATCTATTTATTATTTTCTATACTCCTTGTCTCTCCCCTCATTAGAATGAAAGCACAGATACAGAGAATCACGAGAATCATCCATGGCTTAATGAATTATTACAAGGGTAACACTGCCCAGGTCAAGAAATAGAACTGCAGAAGCTTCTTGTGTTCTGCCTCAGTCATAACTACTCAACATCCTCCAACCACGAATCATTATCGTGATTTTCATAGTAATCACTTCTTTACATTTCATCATAGTTTTATCACCCGGTTGTCCTTAGACACTGTAGTTCAGTGTTGCCCTTTTTTTTTTTTAATTTTATCTATTTATTCGAGAGAGAGAATGAGAGATAGCACGAGAGGGAAGAGGGTCAGAGGGAGAAGCAGACTCCCTGCCGAGCAGGGAGCCCGATGCGGGACTCGATCCCGGGACTCCAGGATCATGACCTGAGCCGAAGGCAGTCGCTTAACCAACTGAGCCACCCAGGCGCCCCAGTGTTGCCCTTTTTCAAAAGAGATTTTTTACTTTTTGTTTGCTCTTGTAGCTTTAGTGCCTAGAGCAGTACCTGACACATAGCACTAAGTAAATATTTGTTGAATGAATGAATTTCCAGTTTCTATTTATTTTACCCAGTGTAGTTTGTTAGATTTTCTAAGTTAATGAACCTTCTGAAAAGTTTGTAAGTAACAGTTGGGTTCTTTGAGTTCATTTTCTGTTGTTTTACAAGGACATTATGACATTATGGGCAAGGGAAGCATTTTTGTATTGCTAGAGCTGAAAGGACATGGGACTATCTTAACCAACCCTGTTACTTTATAGATGTGGAAACTAAATCCCAGGGTGGTTAAGTGACTTGTCAGAATGATTTTGTACCTAGTGTTAAAAGGGGATTTTGCCTACCTACTTTTCCAGGGTTGGTTGGGGAATTACCCTTTAACCAGATAGACCTTTTAAAGTAAAGGATTCTAGTTGCATATGAAATATTAGATCACAAGTAACAGTGAGATTTCTCTAATAAGTAGTTCTTGGCAGGAGATCCATCTAAATCGCGAAAAGTCAGAATAAGAGATAAATCTGAAGTAATTTTTTTTTATTATTTTTCATTTATTTCATACTCTGGCTCCAGTTTCCTTACTGATTCTCCCT